TGCCGCCCGCTGCTCCCCTCAGCAGTGTACTCGGTCCTTCTGCCTGCTCTGCTCCCCGCTCTGGCTCTGGTGAATTCTCTCACCCTCCCGCGCTTCTGACTGTACCCAGTGCTTGTATAAATACAAACAAAAAAAAAAAAAAAAAAACCAAACTTCAGTCCTTAAAAAAAAAAAAAGACCCAATACCAGATACTTTGCTCATCATCCCTTTACATCAAACTCCTCCATTCTAGTGATCTCTCCTTAGCACTCGAGAAAACTGGTAGCAAAGGTATTGGGGCTTTCAACAATATTAACAAATACTTAACACTTTCTATGGTGTAGACTGAGGACTTTCTCCCTTTTTGAGGCGTCATATTGAGCACTGTCTGTGTCAGGTACTATTCAGTATATACCCAACTCTCAAGAAGTTCACATTCCAACAAACTAAAGTATGCTAATGATTAGTTAGCTAATGATTTATCAGCAAAATAAAACAAGAGAAAGTGATAGTGCTTACTTAGCTATAGACCTCATTCTGGGTCCCTAAGATACAGCTTACTGTGAAAAATTGATGCCTAAGAATAAAAAATTTGTTCCCACATTATCTGTATTTTGAGTTGCCCAAAATTTTCTACATCATCAGGAATGAGGCTTTCACCTGAAGAAGACTGTATTCCTCTAGCAGCACAGACCGCTGGGTAAGTGTGCAAATGCAACTATTCAACAATTTTGACCACATACCATTTTTCTAGTTATTAACTATGTGATGTCTTCTTGCTAAAGAAAAGATGGCTTAACATTTTTATTCTGCCTGGTTCATTCCTGGTCAGAAAGATCTTAGAATGGGGTCACTCAAAGTGGGGTTGTTTATAATAGGGGTAATCTGGTATTTGCTGCTGAGTCTTGGGAGATAACTTCAAGGGTAACCCAAAGAAAAGTGAAAATCTCATCAAGACTTCAGTACCCCCAGTTTATTGCAACAAATAAATGATTAAGCTATTTCAGAGAGACTCAAATATAAGGCACATTGACAAGACTGAACATCTGATAGTACAGTAACACCCTTTAGAAAATCTCAATCTCATCATCAAGAGTGACAAGTAAATTAAATTCTGAAGTAAATCAAAATTTTCCCTTTCAGGTAACACTAGGCTTAGGTAAATTCAACAGAATTTGCATAACTTCTCACTGTCTTCACTTTCTTTTATGCTGAGCTAGCATTTATTTCTACAAGTGCCTATAGCAGGGATTAGTCGATTTTTTCTACATTAAATGTAACAGTATAAACAATATACTAGACAGGTTGAAGGCAGGTATTATAATTCAGTATATTAAAACACAGAATAAATATGGTGATTCACGGGAAATAGGGTGACAGGAGAACTATGGTGTCTACACCTGAGGGAAGAAACCAACTACAAAAATGAACAACAATGTAAGAAAAAAAAATTATCAATATGAAAAAATAAAATAAAATGTGTAACAAAGGTCATCTTTTCCAACAAAGATGAAAAAGTCCCAAGTCAAAACTAAAGGTCATCATACTATATAGCAGAGAAATGTTGGGCATTTACTTCAGATTATTTTGCCCTTGATTTTCTGTTGCAGTAAGGATTACCCAGTACTGGTGTGATTACAAAAATCTCAAAGATTATCAAATATGACTGCTAAGGATTTAATGAACATTTTAGAACAAGAAACTGTTTAAGATATTAAGCTGCACATTCTCTATAAATGGTTACGTCTACATGGACACACTGACCGACATTCAAAACTACTTTAACACTTTGGCTCCTGGAAAGAAATGAAAGGGCAAATTTCCATCTTCAGCGCTTATCAGTGTTTCAGTAAGGTCCTACATCTAAATTTACCAAAATACAACAGTAAACCAACTTTACCTCAGGACAACCAAACATCAAAACTGAAGTTTCCAACCTTCTCACTTGAATGCCTCCTCAGGTATATCAAGTTGTTTTGGAAATATATCTAGCTTTGTTCTAGGAATCTACACATTACAAACCACTGATCTTTTTATTTAAAAAAAAAATCTGTCTTGCTGGGGAAAAGCCAAACATTCTCCCCCCCCCTTTTTTTTTACAGCACTGCAAAATAAGTATTCTAATTCCAGAAATTAGATTTTATGCCCCAAATCTTCAAAGGCACAATTCTCTTCCACATGTAGCAGGCAAGTAATAATTTGGCAAAAGACAAGCCAATTTTTTTAACCCAGCTATTTCTGATTTTTAAAAAAGTCCCATCACAAAGATGACACAAACACATCAAAATTTACCAAATTCAATTTTCGCACTTGAAATAGCTATGTCAGTAAAAAGCACTAAAAGGGTCTACTCAATCATGAATAGTATACTCCTTGATAAGAATATAACTTTTTTTTTTTTAACATATGTAAAGGGTCCTGGAAACAAAAAGTCATTCTTGTTCCAAAATGAGTTTGGAGTCAAGATTTTTAATACGGGGAGTGTGTTTTCTCTCCCAAGAGGCAACTGTGAAAGTATGTCACAGAAGGGGTGACCATTAGGTTTTTGTCCCCAAAACCTACGAAAGTAACAGTTAAAGGAGATTTGATTCAATTTGACAAATAAGTATTATATGAGAACCACTCAAACTTTAATCACTAAGCCAAATTAATAAGTCTGTTGCTTTGTCTCTCTTTCAAACTTTATGTTCCATGGCCAATAAGTGCCAAACGAAAGGTAGTTCTATTTTAAATACAGGTACAGTTTGTTTGCATACACATTTAACTCCTATAAAAACTAGCCTTTATATCCTTGTGTTAATTTTAATATTCTTCAAGTAAGAACTAACTTGATAGCGAATTCTGAAATGAGTATATACCACAAAGACATTAAAAGTTAGGTAGGCAGACTGCCAATCAAATTAGGCACTTATATGGCTTCATATCAAAAGTTAAGTTATAGAAGGGGTTTACACTTAAGATATAATTTCATCTTAGAAAGGAAAACAGACATGGGCCTCCCCTGGTGGCGCAGCGGTTGAGCTCTGGGTTGCGAGGCTGCCCGGAGCCTCTGCAGAACCAGTTCGTTCCCCGGCCACCCGCAAGGGTCCCACCAAAAATAAAAAATAAATAAATAAATAAAAAAGGAAACCAGACATCAGCCACCCTAAACTTCGCGATTATTACCCATAACCCATGATGTACCCTCTTAGACAACACTGCCACAACAGCACATAAACACAAAGAATGCTGGGCCTCCCTGGTGGCACAGCAGGTTGAGCGCAGCACTGTGAAGCTGTCCACAGCCTCGGCGGTGCTAGTTCGATTCCCAGAGGCCAGGGAGAGTCCCACATGGTTCTGATACCTCTCCTGTCTCGCCCGCTGCTCCCCTCAGCAGTGTACTTCGGTCCTTCTGCCTGTTCTGCTCCCCGCTCTGTCTCTGGTGGATTCTCTCACCCTCCCACGCCTCTGGCCTGTACCCCAGTGCTTGTATAAATAAATAAATAAATAAATCTTTAAAAAAAAATAACAAAAAGAATGCTAAATAAGAAAGCATTGATGTGCGCAACAGGTAGCAATCACTACAATATAAAAAAAAATCTTATCAACAGAAGGACAAAAATCAGGGATTGCTTGGATCTCCTGACTGCTACCTCCCCACATTGTTAAAAAATGAATAAACTCTTGCTTGCTGAAAGACCCCCTCCCTTGAAAGATTAGGTCCCAAGAACCTCCCCAATACTTTATGTAACAATTCAACAATCCTACAAGCCTGATATGATAAAAATGAATTCCATATAGTGAAACTACCTGGAAAGAGTTTTGCAGCATCCTTTCTTTTCTTTTCCAAAAGAAAAATTGAATTCAAAAAACGTCAACACAAAAATAAATCCCGAATGTACAAAATTGCACTGATATAAATGTATATTTTTTAAAAGCTCTAACTCTTTTAAAAGTTAGAGCTAAAGAATTGTAATCTCAACATATGAATTAGGAGGCAAGAGGCAAATCTCTGAAATAAGGCTTGCCTGAACACATACCTGCTAGATATAGTTGCTAATACACTGCACACCTTTTTAACAGTCACACTGAAAATAAAAACAAACCCCCAAAAGCAGCCTTTCCTCAAAAAGATTGGATACCATCAGAAAATGGATTAGAAAGTCATTATTTTTCCTTTCAAACTAAGTCTAAAACACGGAGCCAAATAAAACCACCATAAATTCCTTTACTAAATAATCTTCTAGGTCATTCAGTGCAGCAATTTTCATATAATACCTACCATTCTATGGCTTTCCTCATGCCCAACTCCACAAACACAAATTCAATTTCTGAAGTGAATATATGTGAGAATATTAATAAAGCATTCTTTGACTAGGGAAAAGAAAAATCAAATTCTTAAACTCTAACAGGGAAACCTTGAGAGAAAGCAGGACCTACAGGAACAAGTATTCACATGTATACACATCCCCTCCAAATCTTCATTAAATAAAAATTTCTATCAATGAGATATAGCTCATATATTACTCCCAAATACAAAATACTGAATTTTATCACCGTCCGGTATTCCATCTTTTCTCAATCTCCTCAACCCTCCAAACCTACCAAAGTGCTGATTTATAAAGAAAGAAAATAATCCATAGTTCTACTCTGCAGTTCCAAACCAGCACAATGTAACTGAAAAAAACTGTATCCAAGTTTTATATTCTAAACTAAAACTTGCATTCTAAACTCAGATTTATTACACAGTCAATATTGCAAAATTAGGAGTCCCTGTCATGTTATAATCTGCAAAATCCTTTGCTTTACAAATGGCTTCTATGTGGTCAAAGGCTACACCTAAGTCAACCTCCACACAAGATGAACACTGAGATTCTTACCAGCTGGCCTAAAAACCAAATGAGATATTAATATACCTTCCCTCCTCCACTGATGCACAAAGCCACCTGAAAAGTTATGATCACAGTATTTTCACAAATGGAAACAAAATAGTTATTCTGCTTCAAATGGGGAGGGGGGGAGGGACCAAAAAAATACTAACCAATCTCTGGCTGTAACGAATCCTTTCTTCTTCAGGTTCCATCTCTCACTCTTCTGTTGAAATTACTGTAAAGAAACCACTCCAGGGCTGCCTTCCTCTTCCTCCTTAGGAACCAGATTGTAACACTAAAGAAAAATGACAGGAGCAGAGGTAAGAACTTATCCTCAAACTCAAGCTTTGTTTTCACGGAGAGGAGTATTTAAAATGTGTGCAAAGGCTCTGGGAAATCTGGCCCCTCTTCACTTTGCTCTTGGGCAAGCCGTTCCATGACAAGATCAAAATCACCTTCTAACTGTGGGCGGCCTAGGCAAAAGGAGAGGTTGGTTTCAGTTCCCTGAGGATGGGCCACACCACTTGTTTCTCCCCATAGGATTACAATTAGCAAAGTTCCCCTTCCTGGCGGCATCAGGAAAAAAAAAGGGGGGGGCGGGGCACCAGACTTTTATCTCTGGAGAGCTGACCAGGTGAAGGAAGCGGGGAACTAACGTGGATCCTAACCAAATCAGTTCTCTCACCGGTAATTAGAAACTAAAAGAAAAGCAGTCAGGCTAACAACCTAAAAAGAGAACAGGAAATTAGGATTTAAAGACCCCAAAACAATTCCCCTTGGCCCTCCAGCGAAGGGGCACACAATCGCCGCCTGCCTTCCAGACGCCCCGATCTTTTCCTCCAGCCCAACACAAGACGTGTGCAACTCTAAAACAAATTCCAGAGAGTTGCAAATCGGAGACAAAAATTCCATCAGAGCCTCTGGGATACGGTCATCAACGACCCCCCCCACCACCACCACGGGCAGAAGGAAAATCCCCCGTTCCCAAAAATCACATAAAGGCCGGGCAGCGCGACGGTCAAGCCCGAGCGCCCAGAAAGGTCTGTCTTTTTCCTAAATATTCTCCCAGCTAATGGCTTCCAGAGGAAATGCAGATTTCTTTTTCCCTTTTTGTAGCTACAGCACGGCCACGTTCACAGCATCCTTTCAGAACTGCTGCGCGACCAGGGCGCCGCTGACACAGTTGGCGAGAGCAGCTCGCGGCGGAGCCCGCCCGGGGCCGCCCGCCCGGCCGAGGGCAGCGCGTCGGCAGCCGCGGGCGAGCCCCGCCGGGCGGAGCGCCGAGGCCGGGAGGGCAGCGCCGGGCCGCCCCGGAGAGGGCTGCGGAGGTGCCCCCGTCGGAAGAAGACAGGGAAACTTTACATTGAGTCCTCAGACGACGCAGCCCAGCAAACTTCCAGGGGGGAGGGGGAGTCTCACCGGGGATCTGGCTCCTGAGTTCTGGTCCAAGTGAGAAGTTCAAGATTCCAACAACTGCGAGGAAAACGAGATCCCGAGCGTCGCCTTCGGCTTTTCCGGGGATCAAGCCCGGATCCAGAGCGGGTCGCAGCGGCCCGGGGAGAGCGGAAACAGGCGCCGGGTCCAGCCCCCGCCGCTGGCTTCGGAGCCCGGGGCCGGAGGCGTCGGCAGCGCGGAGCGCGACCCCTGGGCGCCGAGCCCGGGCGCCCCCGCCTCCCCCGGGCCGGCGGTCAGCGGCCCGAGCCCGAGCCCCGGGCCGGCCCCGGCCGCGGGGAGCGCCGTGCCCTCGGCGAGCAGCCGCCCGGCCGCCTCCGGAGCTCGGGAGCGGCGGCCGATCAGCTGAGACCGGCCGGCCCGAGGCGCCCCGCGCCGCCCCGGCCCCCCGGAACGCGGGCCCCGGCCCCGGGGGGCGGAGAGGGCGGGAGCGGCGCGGCGCGCCGGGCTGGGGGCCCGGGCTGCCCTCGCGTCTCCCCCTCAGCCCGGACTCCGCGCTGCGGGACGAGCCCCCGGCGACTCCCCAGGCGCAGAGGAGGGATTCCGGGGGATGGGCCCCCTGGCGTTGCCCCTCCTCCAGGAGCGCCCCCTGCCCAGGAGAGACAGAGCGGCGACAGGCCCGGGCGCCGGGAAGGTGCTCTGCGAGCCACCGCCGCCGCCGCCGCCGCCGCCGCCGCCGGGGAGGGGTGTTGTTTCCCTCACACAGGAGGAGCCGCTGAAGCAGCCGCCGCCATTTTGAACCCGTCAGACTCGCACATACACACAGCTCCTCCGCGGCGCACTGCGCAGGCGCCGCCTCCCCACCCCTCCTCCGGCTGCCCTCTCCACCCCCACCCCCACCCCCTTCAAGCCTCCCTCGGCTTCTTACCGCTCTCCAGGGCGCACGTGAACGCGCACGCGTCACTCCCCTCAAACGCGGACACTCCGCCGGCGCGCGCACGCGCGGATGCGTCGGCCTCGAATCGCCCGCGCCCGGCGACGCCGACGCGGCTCCCCGCCCCCCCTCGCGTCAGCCCGCCCGCCCTCTCTCCCGCCGGCCCACCGCCCCCGCTGCCCGCCGGCCTCCTTCCAGGGCCCCGGCCCCGGCCGCGGCTCGCGCCTGCGCGCAGGGCACGGGTCCTCCTCCGCGCGCGCGCCCTCCCCCGCCCGCCCTCGCTGGAACACACACACTTCGCCTCTGTGACCCCGCCCCTCGCCGGCCAGCTGCGCCGGCGGCCCTCCCCCACCGCGCCCGGGAGGGTGGTGACCCCCGACCCCCCACCAAGCACACCCGCCCCCCCAGCCGCGGGGCGAGGCGCCCGGCTCCCCTTCAACCGCCCTCTGCCCGGTCGGCCCACCACAGTCACACAACCCGAGGCCCGGGCCGCCTGGGCCAGGCCGGCCGTGGCCCGCCCCAAAGCGGGGTCTCCCGGGGTCAGGCCGCGGGGCCCGGCCGGTCCGACCGGGACGCCCCGCTCGGGCCGGCCCACGGCCAGGGGCGCCGGGGAGGGCCGCCTCCCCGCCCCTGCCCGCCCCTCGCGCGCCGGCCGGTGGGCCGAGGCCGACCTGCCCGCCATCCCCGGGCAGGCCCCGGCGCCCCCGCCGCGGAGCCCGGCCGCTCTGGGCTCCGGGGGCTCCTCGGAGCAGCGGCCCGGCCCCGCCTCACCCACTCCTCGCCGCTCCGAAGGGGCAGGAAACGGGAGCGGCGTGTCTGTCGTGGGCCCGGCTCCCCCGGGGAGCTCCAGGCGCCGGCCCCCGGCGTCCACCGGCCCCCAGCTCGGGCGAGGTCTCCGCGACGGCCCGGGGCGGCGGCGGCCGGCGCGCCCACCGCGGGCCCGAGGCACCGGAGGAGGCCCGCGAAGCCCCCGCTCCTCGGCCACGCTCGGGTTTCCGCCGCGCCGGTGCCCCCGGCGGCCCGGGGGAGGCGTGACCCCGCCCCCGGCGAGTCGGGGCGCCCCCCCAGGGAGCGGGGCGCGGGCCGCCCCCGGCCCCGGGCCGACCCGGCGGCCCGGGCCGCGGCAGGCGCGGGAGGCCCGGCCGGGAAGATGTCGCCTCTCGGTGCGCGCAGCTTCGCGCGAGGGTCAGCGACGGGGCAGCGGCCGCCGGGGCCGCGCCGGCCCTCCCACGAACGGGCTCCCGCGGCTCGACAGCTGCCCGACGGGCTGGCGGGCTGCGGACGTCGACGGAGCCCGGCCGGAGGCACCCGAGCACCGCCATGCGAGCAGCCCGAGCGCGATCAGGGCATCCCCAGCCAATCTCGTGCTCGGGGGCCCGTGTCAATGATAAATCCCGTGCAGGACCGTGACTCGGCGTTGCGCCCGGGGTGGGCCCCGCGGGCGTCCCTGCGCGCTCGTGCCGAGAGGCGTCATCCGGGGCTTTTCCTCCCAACCTTGGTTTCCCACTCTTTGACCTGGGATTCCGGGGGTCCCGGGATGGGGCAAGAGGAAGGGCATGGAATGAGCCATGAAACTTCCAGCAACAGCCTTCAACTCTTGGAGGACGACTTTAGAGAGAGACAATTGAAATAATGATGCCTTCTGTTTCTAGCAAGATCTGAACTCCAGGAAAAGGCACTGTGTAAACCCAAGGTAGAAGTATTTATTGCCCACACAACCTGAGGTGAGGTTTTTCTATGTGCAGACTTTGGGGGTTTTCACACACATTCTCTATATGTTTCACAACATCCTTGGGAGACCAGCTCGAGTGCCCCGTAGCATTATATCGTTTCAAAGACAGGCAGTTGAATCAGAGAAAGGTGAAACAGGAGACCCTCGCTCTGCAATAGCAGGCTGCCACATCTCGCAGACCACAAAAAAGGGGGGGGGAAAGTGTGTTAATATGGTATCACGTTCTTGCATCCAATCCCTGGGAAATTAATTTCTTTTTTTTCTTTGTTGAGACTTCTGAGGTTTTCAGAGCCTGATAGACTGTCACCAAAACTTTATCAGGTCTCAAGCCTCTAAGATATCTAGACTATAGTAAAATATATTGTAAAGCAGCAGTCTTTTATTCTGGCACTACCAGATGTGGCCCCAGAGGTGTCTGATGCTCGGTAGGTATAGAAAAAGGAAGCAGCTTGGTTTGTTTTGTTCTTAAGTAAAAGAGAAAGACTTTTGCAAAGTCCCTTAAGTAAGAGTTGGGCCTCATTGCTATTTGCAAAATAAATGACTTTCTTTCCTTCCCTCTCCACATATCACCCACAGAATTCTTGGGGGCAAAGAGAGAGAAAAGGAGGTTGAGAGCAGTAGCTCAATTTGGTCTTGCTCTGTTTCTTAAGGTCCAGAGCCCCTTAAGTAATTAACCAACAAACTTGAGTGGCTCATCCTCAGCAAACAGATGCCTCCTACAGGTTTAACTCAGGTGGGCATACTGGGAGGAATCCGGGAGCCTCTGAGAACAATAATGGACAGACTTATTTTGAATAGGGCTGCAAGTGAAGGTTTGTCAAATTGCAGCCAGCTCTTTTCCAGTTGACACCATGTGTCCGTGTTGGGGGGAACTAACTAGTCTGCATTGGTGGGGGGGGGTGGCGTTTTAAATAGATACACACAATCGTTTCTCCACAGGCAGGCTTTGTTAATATTCCAAAGCAGATGTGCAGGGTCAGATAGGAGATAGGCAGATGGCTAGTGATCCCCGCACACACAAGCACGATGGCTCTGGTTGGCAAGGGCATATTGTGAGGCTCACTGTGTTGCCCTAAAAGAGCCATTTTTGAAGAGAATAGAGCTTGGGGGATTCCCCAAGAAGGTCACCAGAACTATGAACTGTATGGTTTCAACTAAGAGAGAGGGACAGTGCTAGATGGGAAAGGGGGAGGGGTGGTTCCTTCTAGAGACATTGAGACGAGGATCCCTGACTGGAATAGCTGGTGCCTTAATAAGATATAAACAAATCTCTGCCTTCGTGAGCAAAGCTCAAACCCATCAAATGTTGGATGTCAAAAGTCCAGATCACCCACTTCTTTTGGGAGACTTCAGTGGGTAGAAAGAGAACTCTAGCTCGGTGGACTAAGTTTTCCAACTTCTCTGCACTCCTGAAATGCTAACAAGGAAGGGGGGATGTCCTGAACACTGGAGGTCTAAGCCAAGAGAGAGAAGTTGGTCTTGAAGGTCCCCCAGGCAGCAGCATAACCAATGCTTGAAGAGCTTTGGCATCAGACACCAAAGGTCCGCTCTGTTGGCTACTAGCTCTTCGGTCCTAGTGAGTGCTTCACACACCTCAGTTCTTCATGTCTACAGTGGGAACAATACCTCGCTCTCAGGGCAAAATCTTGAAATCTTAGTGGCTGATGCATAATAACCACCAATGATGATGGTTCATGAGCATCTACTGTGTTTCTGACCTCCAGTTTTGTTTTGTTTTTAAGATTTATTTATTTATGGGCCTCCCCGGTGGCGCAGCGGTTGAGTGCTGGGTTGTGAAGGTGCCTGCAGCCTCTGTAGCGCCGGTTCGATCCCCGGCTGCTCCCCGGCCACCAGAGGAGGGTCCCACATGGCGCGCAGACCTCTCCTGCCGCCCGCTGCTCCCCTCAGCAGTGTACTTCGGTCCTTCTGCCTGCTCTGCTCCCCGCTCTGGCTCTGGTGAATTCTCTCACCCTCCCGCGCTTCTGACTGTACCCAGTGCTTGTATAAATAAATAAATCTTTTTTTTTTTTTTTTTTTTTTTTAAATAGAGGCATGTTTTATTTATTTATTTATTTATTTGTTTGTTTTGTTTATACATGCACTGGGTACAGTCAGAAGCGCGGGAGGGTGAGAGAATTCACCAGAGCCAGAGCGGGGAGCAGAGCAGGCAGAAGAACCGAAGTACACTGCTGAGGGGAGCAGCGGGCGGCAGGAGAGGTCTGCGCGCCATGTGGGACCCTCCTCCCGTGGCCGGGGAGCAGCCGGGAAACGAACCGGCGCTGCAGAGGCTGCGGGTAGCTTCGCAACCCAGCGCTCAACCGCTGCGCCACCGGGGAGGCCCAATAAATAAATCTTTAAAAAAAAAAAAAAGAGCTGATAGCACGGTGTAATTCTCCTACTATCTTTCTAATGCTAAATCTCTCTACTTTAAAACAACAATGCAATATAATAAAGTCATTAAAAAATAAATAAATAAATAAAAGATTATTTATGCATACAAGAACTGGGGTACAGGCCAGAGGTGCAGAGGGTGAGAGGATTCATCAGAGACAGAGCGGGGAACAGAACAGGCAGATTGACTGAAACACACTGCTGAGGGGAGCAGCAGGCGAGACAGGAGAGATCTCCCGCACCATGTGGGTAGCTCCCCGGCTGAGGATCAAACTTGTGCTGCAGTGGCTGCAGGCAGCTTCATAGGTTGTGTCTTAACCCCTTGTGCCACCAGGGAGGCCCCTGACCTCCAGTTTTGTGAAAGGATGTTTTGAGTAAAGATGCTTCAGTATTTCAGCAATTTGCATAGAGCATAAGTAGAAACTTAGGCATTGCTCCTCTGTCCTTTCGAGCTCCTAGTCTCCCCACCCCCCCACCCATGCCTAGATTCTCTGAGCTCCATTTTTCTCTCTTCTTTTACTCTGTCTGCCTCTCTCATCATCACCTGCTTCCTGAGAGCTCCTTCTTCCCACCCTTCTCTCCAGCACCCCGCTGCTCCCCGCGAGCTGTGTGTCCGTTGCCACCACCACCCCACCACCCCCTCCACCCCCCACCCCTGGCCTCACCGGCTGTCCTCTGTCATCAGCAGAGTAACCTGCTTTACTGTAACTTCCCTTTAACCATCCACTTGGGGCACTTAATCACATGCTGTCTATTTTGTAACTTAATCATTTCCTGAGC